GCTGGTGAACACAGTACCTTAGTGACGATAGAGTGAGTTATGGCATTTTTTCAAAGTGGACGTATAGTTTTGTCCAGCAATGTAGAGGGCTCGACTGCCGCTAGAGACTGGGACGCGCAGGACTACACTCAGACAATTGCATCGGAAAGTTCGCGGCCTCAAATATTACATGGCGCGCCGCGGCCCTTGAAATTTCAGCCCAGCACGCCGCGGCCCATGTATGTCTTACCGGGAACGCCGCGGTCAAAGTTGAAATTGGGAAGAGATTCCGGGAGGGTCGCGGCCCAACCACCTCACTCGACGGGCCGCGGGCTTTATCAAAGGCCGCACTTCTTACACGCTGTAGTTTAAGGCGCAACCCGCGTGAGGTACGTCGCAGCGATGGGGCTACTCTAAGTGTTTATGAAGGTGTGTACCGCTTCTCGGATTTGGTCCTACCTGACAGAGTTGAGTTTTTATGCTAATCTTATATATAAAGCTGAATGTCTGTTTGTATGTATGTATGTCTGTCTGTATGTGTGTACGTATGTTCCGAATAGAAAATTCCATTTCTGAACCGATCCGGACCAAACTTGGCACACATACACTACGGGCCCCGGCGGGTGTCATAGGCTACTTTTCATCATCGATCGATATTTTTATCGATTTTTATCGATTTTTTTGCTGAGTTCACCTACGGGGCTGGGAGTTGGCACAGGGGGGTAATCGAGCATGGGGATTCCGAATACAGTATTGGTTTTCTGGATTATCGATTACTTTTATCGATTTTATCGATTTTTTTGCAAACTTTGAGCTACGGGGCTGGGAGTTCGCACAAGGGGGTAATCGAGCATGGGGATTCCGAATACAATATTGGTTTTCGGGATTATCGATTACTTTTATCGATTTTATCGATTTTTTTGCAAAGTTTGAGCTACGGGGCTGGGAGTTCGCACAGGGGGGTAATCGAGCATGCTGATCATCCCCAAGGGGGGTGATCAGCATGCTCGATTACACCCCTGTGCCAAATTCCAGCCCCCTAGCTCAAATTTTCAAAATCGATAAAATCGGTAAAAGTAATGGACGATCCTGAAAACTAATGTTGTGTTCGTAATCAGCATGCTCGATTACCCCCTGTGCAAAATCCCAGCCTCGCATGTCAAAATTTACAAAAAATCGATAAAATCAATAAAAGTAATCGATAATTCTGAAAACTAATATTGTATTCGGAATCCCCATGCTCACTTCCCCCCCCTGTGCCAACTCCTAGCCCTGTAGGTGAACTCTGCAAAAAAATCGATAAAAATCGGTAAAATCGACATCGATCGATAACGAAAAGTGGACTGTGACACCCGCCGGGGCCCGAAGTGTATGTGTGCCAAGTTTGGTCCGGATACGGCGGAGCCGGGTAAGCCAGCTAGTATAAAATAAACTACAGCAGTCGGATAATCATCGATGACACTAGATGATGTCGACAGATGAACTAACAAGTTGCTCAATTTGCGCTCAAGTCGTTGTCATGAAAGACATGCTAAAAGATTTTTCACTCTTCCTGGGCCTCACAAGCATGCTAACCGGGTCAACTATCGGGCGCTTACAGGGTGCGCCGCGGTCACTTATCGGGCCCAATATAGCTTTATACCGGGCAGCTCGCGGCATGGATGATTGGTGGTCGAGCAAGCACCCGCGAACTTCCCGATGCGATTGTCTGAGCAGTTGCGCAAACGCATCCTTAGAAAGGAAACACGATTTAGAGGAAATTTTGAGCTTTTACATGCTAACTTCACAACTCAGCAGTGTTCAAAAAAGTGCCGTGCCTTGCAGTACTCGGAACTATATGACGATTGTTTGCGTATCAATGACGATAAAAACCTCAAATTTGTGATCAAGTCAGATACTAGCTCGCGCTTATGTCGTTGCCGCTACACTTTACCAGTTGCCATTGGACGGCCTGTACATTGGCGCGCCGAATAAACCAACTAATTATCTCGAATTCCTGCTCTTACCACTCAACCATGTAAGCTTGATTCGCTTGTCAAGGATTGCGCAGTTACAAGAGTTCCGAGTCACTTGTCATCCGATTATGTAGGTGTATCGGACGGAAGAGATTCCCGGGTTGCCAGCGTGGAAGGCATGTATCATACCATAACCACCAGTGCAAGTCGACTGTTTAGCAAAGTATGGATGCTAATGTGTTCCATATAAGACACTCCAACAGGTGCTATTTCGCCTCAGGTTAATGTAGTGCCTTAGAAATGCGGGAGCTCAAGTCACGATGATGCAATACGAGATTCTACATCAAAAGACGTGAAAATAATTAATAAAGACGAAAGTGTGTTATATAGCCGTTTTTTGGCTACGTGCCAGCAAGGAGAAGTCCGGCGAGGCGATTGTGGCAATGCGAAGCCAAAGCTACCGTAACCGCGACCATAATGCAAATCAACCAATGCTCCCGGCCTCACCGCTGAAATTTAGATCAAGCACAGACTGTTGCGGTCAAAGTGCGAGTGCTAAAAAAATGTGCGTTGCGAAAAGTCCATTATGAAGAAGAAGCCGATGGCAGTTCTTCTAAGAATAAACACCAGAAATGAGCGATACACACTGTTACACTAGAAAACGAACATTTTCATGATGCTACGCTGACAAGATGAAAATGAAAAGAGTGGTGCAGTTAAGCCAACAATCGCAGGTTCTAGGTTGGAAATTTCAACGAATATTTGCAAGCAACTGCAGGAAGAGTTCATCTTCACACAGGCCGTTGGATCTGATATGCCACAGATAAGGCCTGAGATGCTATAATAGCTACAAGAGGATGCAGTTTGAACGCAAAAAGAGGAGTGATAAGAAGTGCCTTCAGACTTTTGGTACGCAACACTATGGTAATCGTGAAATGCATGGTTCACGATGATTGCTGGCATTTGTCGTTATCGTCACCGCTCCTTCTCCATCACCATTCTTGTCGGCACTTCTTTACGCCTTCCATAGCTCAGCGAGTCCTTGGAGCTCATGCATAAGCACCGAGCTTTATTCACCTGTCTTGGCGGGTGGAAGGCGGGGCTTTGTGACCTAGTTGAAGCCGCTCGCGCCACGTTGTCTGCATCTCGCTCGTGCGCGCTCTCTGATCATTATCTATCCTTCATTTGGTCGCAAAGCCCCGCCTTCCAGCCTCCGAGCCAATTGAATCGATGGGTTACTGTGCATGAGTAACCTTGTTGCTCAGATGTTTGTTAAGTAAATTCGCCACGTCCATACGCGTCATTATACCGCTGCATGCATGTCATGAAACTTTATGAATCTGTTAAACTAATGCGTTGTGCATGCACACTAATATCTAGCAAGGACAATACGCTTCATCTTCGGGCATAGTTCACGCGATTTTAGCTGCGGCGCAATTTGAGAGTACTCCAAATGCCCAAGCTCTGTTGTAAATGCATTTTGAATGTCCAGAAGATGTGGCAGGACATCAAGCTGCTAAATCGCGTCACGACTTATATCGCGTGAAACATGCCCGAGGCCTGAAGGGGGCGTATACCCTAGGCGATGAAGTCGTCGCGAAGTTCAGTCATTGCGTTCGGCTAGGAACTAGCGACGAAAACGCGCGACGGGATCGCTTATCGCGAACATGGGCATACTTTTGCAGCGATTTGTGCATTTTCACAATCCAGCGCACTTTCTATGAATCATAGATAGCGTCATCGGCTGATCTTATCCCCCGCGCTTTGATGCAAAGAACACAAAGTAATGATGGCAAAGCTTGTAGTTATAACCTTCAGTACATGGGGGGACGGAACTTAAGAACCCGAGCCTAATTAGCTCGATTTGGGGAGTGCCTGCATTACAGTTCATGCTCGCTGTCTCTGATTACTCATTAAGACATAGCAACAATCTAAGCCCCGCCCCCATGAGAGCCTGTTTGGAACGTAGCCAAGGAATGCTGAAAATCTCAATTGAATTTCAGGGCTGGCTCTGAGCCAAAAACCTTCAAAGTGATCGTACGAAGGTGAAATTAGGCTCAAACGAAAAAGAAAAACCGTGGTCATTATAAAGTATCTACTGAATCTAAACTGATTGAACACAGAATTTTCTTGGTTCAAAACTTTATTTAAGTGGTAAATTACTGGAAATTATTCAAAAAACCGTCAAGTTTTTCAAAAAAAAATTGATTCGAGTGCCAAATCCTAGCAAAACACTAGAACATCATTCGAGAAATGACCGTTTAAAAATTTCCCGAGATTGATATTTATTTAAATGCTGAAATTTAGGCGAAAGACCAGAAAATCAATTGCGAAACGACAGTTTAGTGCGGAAGTCTGGGCAAAAGATTAGGAGGTCGTGCAGGAGTTCCTAGCACCTTTCTTCGCACCAGGTTCGCACCAGCATTCGCACCCAGGGGGCTTCTAGCACTTCCGCGCTTCATAGGTCAAGCCACGCCCATTGCTCCACTTATTTACTGGTCTCATTGTGAGGTGTGCAGGCAGCGATAGCATAGACTCAGTATGAGGTAATAAGAGAGAAAAATTGAGAAAAAACAAAGAAGGTAGATATCATCTCTCAAGTGAGGACTTGGAAACTTCTGCCACGTCATCCTTTCAAAAATGAGCACTGAACATTATTATCGGAAGAAATAAATAGCACAGAATTTTTGTATAGAAAACTCGGTCATTCAAAATTTCAAAGAATCTAGTTGATCAGCTGTAAATTCCTAGTTATTTGATTAAAGTAATTTAGCATCAGGAGTTGAATAACTGAGTGACCAGAAGTGGTGTAGAACCCTATTGCCTTCCCAATAATTACCTATGTTGAAAGGGGAACATCAAAGTTCCGAATAAGCATCTCAACATCAGCATCTCAGCATCTCATCCCATTATGATGTTGAATAACTTGTCCTGAATTACTCTGTAGTGCGTATTGAACCCCTAGTTTACAGGCACAACTCAGTGAATTACTATTGTCAGCGTTTTCAGCGCATTTGAAGAGTATACTTTATATTTTTTAGGCGAAAGATTGAATGTTTGGCGAGGATGAGTAAAATGTCGCAAGAGGACGTTGCGACGTTTCTGCCAACTGTTCAACAAGGTTCAGAGGCGCTTCGTGATGAACACGGCACTGTGTGTACCACACATGAAAGCAGCTTGAAAGGTTCGGCTTTGTGCCCAAAATTTCCATTTTCACTCATAGTCGGCTCATGATTAGTCTTGGATAATGCAGCAGCAAATGCATGGTGTTCATATCGCAGTGGTCATTGTATATTTTTATGTGAAAAGTACGCTCGATTTTGTTATATACAGTCTTACTGAACATGGAGTCTGAGTTCGTTTTCATGAACAAAAATTCTCTTACTATGTTACAATTCTAGGAATAAGCGAAGATGAAGCGTCGATGCCTCGCGAAAAGCATCATCAGATCTCCAATATTGTTACGAGTATCTCAAATGGGCTAGAAGAAGTTACAGTAAGTTGTTGATGCTGTTTAATAGCGGAATTGTCAAAACAATTTCCTCAGATGATGAAGTCGATCATGTCTCATTTGTACAACCTCGAAGCTGAGAAGCAGAAATATCAGGTGAGTGTGATCAAATTCAGAATCTTGGCGCTTGAATAAGCGGAAAAGACCTTTTAAATCTAGGCACAGCGACGCCGTCTATGTCAGGAGAACGCATGGCTGCGTGATGAGCTGAGTTCAACTCAAATCAAACTTCAAACTTCTGAGCAGGTGGCAAAGTGTTCAGTGTTTTCATGATCTCATCAGTGTGTTCCAGCGTGTTGCTACTTTGGAGGAAGAGAACAAACATCTCAAATGTATGAATTCTATCAAGCAGTTTCATCTAAAAAAAATGTTGACTGATCCGTGATCACTCTGTTCTGTTCCTTTTTGCATATCATTTTTGGGCTGGTCATAAACAGAAATTATAGGACCTTTATTTTCTCGAATTTTCCATTCAGGTAGATATCTCCTCATGTTTGCTGGTTCTCTTCAGAAATATTTTATTTCCATGTTCATTGCCACTCCTTCTTCGCAACAACGTCTTACAACCATTATTATTGTTATTATTATTATTATTATTATTATTATTATTATTATTATTATTATTATTATTATTATTATTATTATTATTATTATTATTATTATTATTATTATTATTATTATTATTATTATTATTATTATTATTATTATTATTATTATTATTATTATTATTATTATTATTATTATTATTATTATTATTATTATTATTATTATTATTATTATTATTATTATTATTATTATTATTATTATTATTATTATTATTATTATTATTATTATTATTATTATTATTATTATTATTATTATTATTATTATTATTATTATTATTATTATTATTATTATTATTATTATTATTATTATTATTATTATTATTATTATTATTATTATTATTATTATTATTATTATTATTATTATTATTATTATTATTATTATTATTATTATTATTATTATTATTATTATTATTATTATTATTATTATTATTATTATTATTATTATTATTATTATTATTATTATTATTATTATTATTATTATTATTATTATTATTATTACTATCATTATTATTATTATTATTATTATTATTATTATTATTATTATTATTATTATTATTATTATTATTATTACTATCATTATTATTATCATTATCATTATTATTATTATTATTATTATTATTATTATTATTATTATTATTATTATTATTATTATTATTATAATTATTAATTATCATTATAATTAATTATTATTATTATATTAATATATAAATAACATAAATATTATATATTATTCTATTATTATTATTATATTATAATAATATATATTATTATTATAATATATAATAATAATATATTATTATTATTTATATATTAATAATATAAAATAATATTAATAATATATAATATTTATATTATTTATATATTATTAATATATTACAATATATTTATAATTATTATAACATATACTATTGTTATGTTATAATAATAATTTTTTATTATTATTATTAAAATAATAATAATAATAATAATATTAATATTATTATTATTATTATTATTATTATTATTATTTTTATACTCATAAAAATTATGCAAGTAATGAACAGCTCTTTGTTACAATCGGAATGGCCATGGGTGGCATTGATTTGGAGCATTATCAAGTACTTTTTCGGTCATTGTGACTTACGAGCTACCATTCATAATTGCATTTGATTTTAGATGAAAAATGAGGATCAGGTACTGTCATTTACTGCAGTAGCCATATCATTGCTAGTAGCCGAGGGCAGACTCGAGTTCGAGCATCGTGACCTGCACATCGGAAATGTGCTGGTGATTGAAGAGGACGCGGACTTGGAGTGTGTGAATAGTATTGAAATGAAATGTTTACATCCAAACTTCTCAATTACAGGTACAAGGTAAGGGACGAAACTATGATCCTGCGTTCGTATGGTGTCAAAGTGAATATTATCGATTTTACTTTGAGCCGGATGCGTAAAGGTGTGTTTTGATGGATAAGGACGAAAATCTAAATTTTCTTGAATCCTTCGTCCACTGATGATTTTATACTTTTGCTACATAACACAATAGGATTATAGTCGTCTAAATAGACTCGTGAAGATTCAGCACATGCTAGTTTATCTGAGAATATCGATTGAATCCCAAATCAGATCATATTTTCAGGTTGCTTCGTTCACTCTTGGCTGAAGATCAGCTGACGATCAGCTGAACGAAAAATGTAAGGAGTGAAGACGTGGAGGGAACTTTACAATCGCGTCTCGAAGCACTCATTCTTCTAGGATTACAACACTCATCAGTTCCACAATTTTATTGATTTTGTTCTCTTTTATTGGAATGCTATTTTTCAAATGATTAACGGTTAATAAAGATTTTCTATCGAAGTTTATTATAATGATAAAAGTGGTTCTTCGATTACTATCTGCAAAAAATGTGTTTGCATGAACATCTTTATCTCGTCGTCCACTTGTGTAAACTCTAGTTATAATGACATTTGAATTGCACATGGCTTAGGTCTCTTATTCCAGATCATAGCCAATTCGTAGTCCCTATTATAGTTGGAATCGAGTATTCGTACTCGAATAATTCATTCGAAATTTTCTACTATCTTGAATATTCGAGAAAGTCCAATTATTCGATTATTCGAATACTCAAATAAATGAAAAAGGCCTTTATTCGAATACTTTCAACGACTTGGAAAAATGACTTATTCGAATAGAATACTCGACGATTTTTGTTTGTTCGAGAACGTCTTGAAAATTCAGTATCCATTCGTTCGAAAAACTCTCAAAATAAATTATTCATTCGATAATAGTTCATTCGATGAATTTTCTTCTGTTACAACTGCAGTCCCTATTGCGTATATTGACCTCCTATATACCGCATTCAAATTGTTGAACCACAATCATCATCATCATGTCACCAAAGCATTGGAATATTGACCGAGCAAGTTATCTGACTGGAATAGCAGAAAATGCCCCGATTCTATAAAAAGGCATATCGGGAATTTTCTCGAATATAAGAATCGCACTTTGCCAGCGCCGATCATCAGTTAGAAAGGGCAAAAGAAATAGGAAACTTCTATAATTTTCTTGTGCTGTCATCTTTATCGATAGATTGGGGATACGTGCTGTGGCTTAGTGATCTATCGATTTTAACATCATCCTTAAGACTTATCGCCTTTTTTGCCTTTTCACTTCGCTATCGTTCAGATCTATCCTTTCCATCATTTTCAAAAATGTTTTTGCTCAATGCGATGTATCTTCAATTCTTAGTTGGAGTGATGATGTCTTTTATTTGACTAGCCATTGCGATTTTCACCATTTTGCATCATTTGCGCAACTTCTGTAATCTTTACTCTGGCACTTTCTCCATTCCTTAGCTTTTCCTCAAGAAAATATTAGGTTGTCCCGAAAGTTTTGTCCGTTTTTTCACACCACTATAAAACCACGCACAATGAAGACCTGAATGAGTTTGAACATGCATTCGATGCAGCTTTTCCTTCTCTTTCCTAAGAACACAGTTTAGAAATGAAACCTTGTATGCTTTTTTTGATAATTGCCAAAATTCTCCACCCGTCAATTTTATCTGCTCAAAGTTAGGCTAATTTTTGAAAAAATTCGTTCAAAATTTTCAGAAAGGGTTTAGTATGCATTAAATAAAGCAAATCTCGGACTACAAGGCTATGTTTTTAGATCCTCCTAATCTGCTGATTTAGCTTTAGACAATTATTTCTTCGGAGGTTTCGATTTTTGGCAAATCATGAAACACGCAACTGCAGCAAATGCATAAAAGCTTTTAAAGTTCCTCGAATTGAAACACCATTCTTATTAAACATTGTTTATGCAACATAACCAAGTTCAATTTGCTTCCAAAAAGTAGCTTTTTGGAATTTTCGGTACTTTTACGTGGTAAACGTAATCGGAAAGCCGCGATTTTCATCAAATAAATAATTATTTAGGACTTGGTAAACGTGGCCCATGTAATCTTAAATGAATACAATGTAGCCAAAGGTTTGCTCTACATAATAGTTACCATCGCTCTTTGAAAACATCAGGATAAAAATTTTTAGAATTCAGGAAATATCTGGCGTTATTGCTGGGCTGCTCAAAAAGCTATGGCGATAACGTTGCAAAGACAGGGTATATCAGAAAGCAAATATAGCTGTAAGAAAGAGGATAAAAATCTGAATCAAATGGTACATAAGTCGTCCATGGATTGTTGTTTTGTGAGTTTTGGTGAGTGATGAAAAAAAACGAACAAAACTTTCGGGACAACCTAATTTAATCTGAAATTCGGAGCTATCGACAACTTCAAGAAGTATTGTATGTACTAATGCGTGTAATAAAATCTAGTTTCAATTCCGACTTTGTAAAACTAGTTTGCTGGGAATTTTGTTATTTCTTGAGAGACAAAAAATCACGTTTGACACGTTCCCTACATGATTGCGACAGAAAGCACTTGTGAGACCTTTTCAGGTTTGGAAGACATATTTCCTTTTACAAGAACAGTTAAGTTTTATTAGATTGATTTGTGGTTGTTCTTGCTTGAAACTTTTGGTCTGCCACTTTAGCGGCTTCAAGTTCTGTTATGCTCGTCCTTGCCCAAACCACTACCACTGCAAAATTGAATTGATGAAAACTACCTCTTACCCAGAGCCTCTGATCACAAGAAATGTGAAGCTGCACGCGGTCAGGATATTATTTGTGTTGTTCCATAGTTAATTCATGTCCTCATCTCTTCCTATAAATACTGCCTTGAAATATTGTTTCACATTTCATGTTTTTAGTTTGTTCAGCAGATCCTCTCACATGGTTATTGTGAACATTTTTGTTTTGTGAAGCTCTGTTTATTACAATGTTCCGTGCCTTTGGAAGGAAGAGAACAAATGTTAAAACCTTTATCTTCCGCTCTGCTTGCTCTGAATTCGTAAGAGAAGCCGACTTTTTTTGGAGCAACGCATGATGATCGCCGGATATTTAGAAAGGTTATCAGGAGAAGAACTTCGGAAAATTTTGAGCCGCGAAATTTTTCAAGTTTAGCTTGCTGTAGCCTTTGTGTACCGTACACTTCATGCAGAACCTTTGCAAGGTTTTTGCTCTAAGCAGCAAGGTGAATCTGAATTATTTGTATACCTTCCGTTTTTTCTATGTCAAAAAGTATTTAGTGCTAGGCAAACTCCCAATTTTTTGCAATGTTCTCTTCAAAAACTTTCAAATGTGGCTGTACCCGTGAGAACGAGCAAACTTGGTTATAGAACTTCTACATAAAGTAAGATCTGCTTTCTCAAGGTGATTTTCGAAAAAAAATATTTTACAGTTTTTGTGGTAAAAAAAACTATCTCCTTAATGCTAAAATAAACCTAGAGCTATTACTTGCCAAGTTTTTGTTTGCAGAATTACACAGATGTGCATTCAAGCCTATTACTAGCCAGGATTGCCTCGGATTAGTTGATTGTCTATAACAACTTCTGAGCAGAGTGAATTGGCTGTGAAAAATGCATATACCTTCGATTTCGCTTCCTCCAACACAGTCTTTGCCTTTCAATGGTATTTTCTTGATGAAATTCGGCTCTTCTAAAACACCTTCACTTCGACTGCTTGTAGAAGGCTTGAGCTGTCATAAAAGCCTCGTACTTCGCCACGCTTTTGAAGTGTACCAGTCCGCTGTTTGATCGAATTTGGTGTTTCTAGAGTAAAAATAGCATTTTGTGAGTTAATGGAAATCTTGTCGCAAGCTTCAGGTAATGAAAGCAAGCCTGAATTCCCCCTAAGGGCGGCTGTGGTAAATGACTAGGCGTGGACTTAAAGGCACTGTTCACCCAAATTTTCGACTTCCACGTTTTTGTCGTTACAGGGCCTTCTCATGTCCCTGATTCCGAACATGAAGTCGAGAATGCGCGAAAACCTAGACAATCCCCGTTCCGGAGAACCACAGGCCGGCATTCCGGAACGGTGATTGGATGGGCGCTCACCAGTGGGCGGGCATGGATGGGGGAGGGCGGGCATGGATGGGGGTCCTCGTGCATCTTCACTCGCTTCCGAAGCGGCATTTTGCGCCGCGACTTGGGCATTGGATTGATAGGGGTCCCCTACTATTATGTGCTGCCAAAAGCCCAACACCCTCAACTTAGGGTGGACGATGCCTTTGAAGGAATTGTCCCGGCAGATTCGCGACCTGGGGGATATCGCTATGGTGGAATTCCCGACCATGCCACTGACCTCTAGGCGCAGTCCGGCTGGTTGATGTTTTCCTTGGGCGGAGAAAATAGCGCTCAAACCGGCGCGCGCAACCCCAATCGGCGCGCGCTTGGACGACTTTGCCTACGGTTCAGCCCGGGACTATACTTTAGACCGAATCGAATAAATACTCGAGTATTCGAATAAAGTATTCAAACAAATTTTATTCGAAATTCGATTATTCGAGATTTGAAAATTTCGAATACAGGGTGTCCCAAAAAGATTTGCACACTGTTTGATCGTTAATAACTCTTTTGCTTTCATGTCCATTGCCGAGCTTGAGGTACCTTTCTTTAGAGCGAGGTTCAACTTAGATTTACAGTATGGAGCGACTTATCAGCATCTCTTCATTACTGTGGGATTACGGTATTAATTTTGAGGAGAGTTTTAAGCCATTAAAAGTGGTATTTTGCCTTAGAAAGAAAGCCAAGGAAGCCAGAAACTCCTGAACTGGGTTAATGAAGCTGCTGATTCTAAATATGAAAATTGTACATCAGTGCAGTGTTTCTTTCACGAGTTATTTCAAATTAGGGTGACAACTAATTTTCCAATGTTTGTCAGAAATGTGAATACGCCATTAAGAAAGCTCGAAAAACTGTTGGAAAGTTATGTAGTGAAATCGGCACGCCTGAAAACCGTGCTACACAAATTTTCAGATTTTTTCGAGATTATTTCATCAAAAGGCCTATTCCACAGCGACGCCGTATGCTAAAAGTTCATATTGTCACCCTACAGTAACAAAGAGGATTAGTGATTCGCTCCATACAGTAAATCTAAGTTTATCCTCGCTCTACAGAATGGTACCTCAAGCTCGGCAAAAGACATGAAAGCAAGAGAGTTATTAACGATCAAACAGTGTGCACATCTTTTTGGGACACTCTGTATATTCGATATTCGCTTATTCGAATTTATTTCAATTTCGAATTTATTCGATTATTCGGTTATTCGAAAAATTTGATTTCAAAAATATTCGAACATTCGAATATTTATTTTTAGAAGTTATTCGATTATTCAACAATTTCATATAATCGAATAACTACATGACAGCGTCACAATTTTGACTGCTATACCAGCCACCACCGTTTGTTGTCCAAGTTGCCCACTGCATTGGAGTCCTTCATTGTGCTAACTCGATCAAAAATTTTTTGAATATTCGACATAATCGATGCAAAATATTCGTTTATTCGGAAAATTCGATTATTCGATATTTTTGATTTTCGAATATATTCGGTTATTCGATTATTCGAAAAAGTTCTCGAATATTCCAAAGTACTTCTCATAGCTCTTTCTGCCCATTTTTCTCAAGAAAAAAATTTGCAAGTTTATTCAGCATGTGCTGGAAGTGTTGAATCTTTTCAACACCTTAGAGTGATCATTCCCCTAAACCGTGGCGAATCGATGTCGGTGATGGCTGTCACCTCAGTAGGATGCCCAGCAATCGGAGATCATGAAAACGAGCGGGAAAAAGAGCGTCACGGAGTGTTCACGAGCCATCACTATCCACATCTCATTGCTAGATTGCTGTCATTCTTATCGACTTGTGATTTATCTTCATAGTTACTTTTCGTGCTCAACCCTTGATGCTAATTCTCGGTTTAGCAGCTGTGTTATGTGTACGATCCCTCCTTTCAGACTGATGGATCGTATGAGGAGGCCATTAATGATTTGGCCGGACTTCTAATCGATTCATCGTGCTAGTCAAACGGGTACCACCAGGTACCAAGTAAGCCTTTAGCCCATGTGAATCTCCTTATAGAATTATACGGGGATTGATAATCTCCTTTTAGGAAGTGTGCCCAAAAATTATACAATGAATGATTGTTTGGACATGGAGGTGCTCAATCTAAAAGTCGTAAAGAGCAAGATTGTCCAAGATGGACTAACATCAACAAAAACTTCCGTGGAGCCTAGCACGGGTACGCTCGTTCTTAGAATCAAAAGTACATCAAAACGATAGATTAAAATGTTCATGACCTTTAGTGCAAATGAAAGCAAGGCTTGGTGTAGTTTTTACTGCAGGAAATATTAGAAGAGGCTGTCTACTCAGTGGCGGGCATCACTATAATGGTAACTCACAGTAGGTGCGATTCATCAACTAATGAGCGGAAAATGCTAGGCTGGACGATTCGCTCATGCGCTCACATGCCTCTCTATCAAAATCAATTTCATTCTAAAGTACCAACATACAAGCGCAGAATTGATTTTTGTGCAAGGTCATGTACTGTTGCCTCACAAGTACTGCTCGTTTTTCAGTGCGACATTCGAGTACCATAACTCACTTGCAAAAGTGATCATTTGTAATAGTGTTACTAACAAACATTCGGAAAGATTATATGCATTGCGTGCTAAAAGGCGAGCGTATAAAAGCTGAGGATTTGGAATTAAAAAAATTTGAAAGGCTTACTTTGATCTCGCAGAGTAGTTGTGCGCTCATCCCGTCTATGATTTTGTAATTTCGGTTGCAACCATGACGCACTTGTAGAGTTGATTACAAACGGTGAGTTCAAAACTTAATTTATCTTGGCAATCATAGAAAAAGTCCCTTGAAAATCATAACTGACATAATGCGTCGATAACGTTCTAAAGCGCTTGTATATTAATAGTCTTTTTGATTTGAGGATAACTTCAAAAAGAAATGAAGCTTCCGTTTCTGACTGACCGTAGTGTGATCAAGCGTCAACAACAGGTTTTTTGATCTATAAATGAACTACTTTTCGAGAAAGCCTTTACTTTCGGAAAACGTAGCTCAAACTCAGATGTAGAACTGTAGCATAACCATTACCCATTTAGCTAATGGTCGGCAGAGAACAACGAATTTTACGGCTTCGCTCGGTTTTCTACAAATAAAAGAACTTCAAAAAAAATTCACCTAATTTGCTTCCTGTGGGGATGTACAAAAATGTTTTCTAGGTTTTTGATTTTTTGTGTGACGACTAAGAATAGCCATTCGTTTTCGTTTACAAAGCGAACTCCCTTCACAGTGGACTTGGGATTTTTGAGTGACTTATAAAGAAAGGACAATGAGTCACGTTAATGCTGAAAAATTCTCCTAACTAGCAATTTTCAGCGGAAATGTATTTCAAGAAGGATCTTCAGCAAACATTATACGCTTCCTTCAAATAATTCCTGTAATTTGCTAATGGATGTCAATGAGATGAAAAAGAAAAATATCAGATTGCTTCGTTGTCTTTTTCTTGGAAATTTGAAATGGAGCCTTATCAAAGACTAGAAGGAAAGAGCTTTTCAAAGCGCGTGAAGCCTGGAGAGAGTTTTTCTCAGTGTATCAGTGAGGTACGAAAAATGGGCAGAACTTTTGACAATCCAAACTAGTTTAGAAAGCTAATTAGTCAAATCACTCTAAACATATTGATTTCCTCTTTTGAAGCTGCGAAAAATCTCGGATATTGGTTTCTAAAACCTTCTTTGATCTTTTATTTTTTATCTGTTATTCCACCAAAATCCATTTTGAGATTATGCTAAGCCTTGCATAAACTCTAATCTCATTGCAGCACTAATGAGCAAAAGTTGTAGTGTGACTCCTTCTACGAATCTTCACATACATTGAACGGCGGTGCATTCCTGAATATATGCGCCATAGACAAAATTTACAAATGATTAGAAGCTTTGGTGTAGAACGTGTCTTGCACCAAAACATTCAAAAAATCGTATGTTTCAGTCTCAGGAATTTTGTTCGATTCGCTATAGCATACAAAATAGAAGATACAAGCTCCTAAAAAATTAAAAATAGTATTTTTTTCAAGTCTTATTGTTTGTCGTAAGCATTCCTAAAAGGCCTAGCAAGATAATCATTTTAGCTGCTGTTTTACGTTTACTCCTTCTAACTGTGACGAGCGCTGGTCGGATGTCTCTTTATGATTTTCGAGTTTCTCTGATTGACATCTCGATTTTCTTATTTACAAATCTCCCACTATGCATAGTTAAATAGAACATTTATTAACAAATCTTTATTTTTCGGTATAAGAATTACGGAGTCAAGTAGTGTAAGGGTTGTAAGAGAAGGGACAAGCTTTCCAAGGAGAAGTAGCCGGCGAAAAAGCAGGTTGACCGTTAAGCACGCGAGATACTTGCAGTACCGATGCTTTTCGCGAATTTTGGAACGTGGCCAAGAATTGGTGAGGATCCCTATGAACTATAGGTCACTGAAAGCGGTTCACTGAAAGCGGTCTTAGCCAAAACCTTAAAAATAGCTATGCAAAGCTGAATTTGGTCTCAAACGAGAAAGAACTATTGCGCCGTCCATAATCTTCCATATAACATGAAAAAAATTTAAGGGGTTGTGTCGCGTTTTCCGGATGACCTCGCCCTTTCGTCGATTCGTTCTGACGACTTTTTTCCGACGAGGCTGAATCAAAATATGCCTTTTTGAATTTTCTGGATGTTCGCACGAAATTGCAGAAGGTAACTATAATAACAAAAGTGAAGTTGCCAACCGCTGTCATGCCTCAAGGATGGAATGCAAATTGCATTTGATACTCGTTTCTGTGCATTCATAAACACACGAGAGATTTCTGAGCATTCCATACATAATCTCTGTAATATTCTATATTAGGTTGGTTCATAAATAATGCACGTTTTTTTAAAATTTGACATTGAATCAAAATAATTCTTTTCCAATATCATCTTTCTGGGTGTGATAAAAAATAGTGCAAACACGAATCCTTTAGCTATACAATGCATACTTTGATATATCTGTAGTCACTATGGAAAAGTTTTTGATTTGAAAACTACCGATGATTTTTATTGTAAAGCTCGAGCTACAATATACGAAATGGCGCAAACTTTGCTCATTGTATAGCAGATGGTCGATTGAACAGTAGAGTGAAACTTGGGTCTACGAAAAATTCTGCGAAAAAGTGGCTAAGAAATCCCAAGTACCCCCTTTTTCCTGCGTTTTAGAAAAAGCAAAAAACTTTTTTAAATTTCTCTGATTTTTTTCTTTTGAGAAACGAGGTATTCTTGCTGTTCTCTTATCTTTAGCTGCACTAGGTCCGCTTTACCTGTGCAGAGCAAAAATTCCCAATCGCTTTCTGTGTAAGGTTTTTATACAGTGTAGAATGGTTTCAGTAACAAGCCAAGTCTGAGCCAAAGCTTCTCGGCTCAAAATTTTTCAAAAATTTTGCTTGGTAGCGCTATTACGACAAGCTTTTTTTGAAAAAAAATTGAGCATTTTAGATTTGGAGCAGGGAAATGAAAGGAAAGAACTTCAAGTTTTAGTATCTTAGTTTTGAAGGCATGGAACTTCGGTTTGTGCAAAGAGTAACAAAGGCGAAAAAGTATACAAGAATATAGAAGAAGCGGGCTTTCATACAACATGAAAAGTTTCCAAGAAACTCCCCCCCCCCCCTCCCCGGGAATGGGTCACGAAATTTTTGCAAGTTACTTGCATGAGTTATAAAATGTGCACGTGACTTGTTTATACTTGTAAAGAACTAAAATAAGCTTTGAAGTTTTGAATTTTTTTAAAAATTCATTTTAGCTTTACTAGAAAAATTTTTTTCATGCGCGCCCCTTTTTCTAAAATTTCGGGGTTATGGGCCAGCAAAAATTTTTGGAAGCATACCAATAAATGTTTCCGAAGTGCGTGGTTGACGCCACGCACTTTTATCGGAAAGAATTTTTGTCGCCCCCCCCCCCCTCCCCCGTCCTCCCCCCACTCCCTCCCCCGAACGTAAATCCTGTGTACGCCACTGCTTCTTACACAATCACAAATTTCAAAATAGATGGAGTTCGGTTCTTAGTGCACCTATTCAGAAATTCCTCTAGATTCAATTTTGGATTTATCAAAAGCTTTCCAGTTCATCTCCAACGGAAACAGGAGTTTCTAACACAGACTAAGTTATGTTGGAAATGTTAGAAATGCGAAAATTATGTTAGTCTACGCAGCCAATCACATTGTGAAAAATGACTCTAGATCTCTTCTCCATAGCTTTATATTTCGAAAATATGCTCTTAATTTGAATGCGCTCCGCAGCTGAGGAGACATGATCAGCGTTCAGCTTCTCTGTCCCTGATTACCACCTCTTCATTGAACACTGCTATAAGTGCTTATCTGTTAGTTTGTCATTTTCATTGTTTTTTGCAACGTCTTTATTTTTTGTTTTACCTTACCTCGCACCTAGGTCCGGAGAGTTTCTATCCGCGACCACTTCGAATGCAATTTCTTGTGTGCTTTTTATTTCATTGTATTCGCTTAATCTAGAGATCACTGAATCAACTACAAAAAATTGTTGCTGAACGATACTGCAAAAATTTGCTTCGGTGATTAATTATCATCCTCTTATTTCCGTCTACTTGAAGAGGCGGAAAAGTGCGTCATTTGATCTATTCTTCTTATCAACTCTGGAAAATAAACACTGCACACTTTCTGCTACCAAATGTCCCAAGTGTACACTTACGTATACAACAAATGTTCTGCAACAGTTAGCGACCAAAGTTTTCTTACGACGAAAAAGACCGCAACCAACCGTGCAAGTTCAAGATGAAAATTTTTTCAAAAAATATGAATCTGTAACACAGCTATTCATGACTACAGTTATCATTGCGCATGTTTTCAAAAATTGTATTGAGAAAAATTTAATTTTGGATTTGAATTGGAACTGCTTCTCTTGGTTTTCAAGCCACAGTTTCGAAATGAACTCTCACTACTAAAGAAACTACTTGAGATACATACTTGAGAAACCAGAAGGTTTTCAAATGATAGTACATTGTAAAAACGGCCATTCTTTCTGACCCATTTCAATAAAAAGAGTGTGGAAAGCTGTATCTGCTAATTCGATAAATATTTTGAAAAACGCAAAAAAAATCTGTTTCTCGTCGATTCAAAGGTCTCTAGTTTTGGTGGGAGCAATAAAACAAAAAAAAAGCTTCAAAATATGAACAAGAAGTGCGTGAGGCT